GTTTAATTCATACCCGTCTCTCACTCCCTGCAGCAGCGGTCTCCTGGGAACGCATCCCTGCATGACTTGCTTTGGATTCCTGTCACCTCTGGGAGGGAAAGCAGTTGTCAAGGAGCAGAAGACTCCGCTCTGGCCTTGCGAAGAGAACCTGTGAGCACAGCATAGCCTGTTGCAGTGCCTCATCCCCATCCCTTCATCTCTGCTCAGTACTTCCCAGTATCATTCTTGAATTCCCAAGCCCAAACATCACAAGCTGTGCTGCTCCCAGGTTGAGACCACGGGAGAGGCGGCATTCACGCCACCAATCTCTAGGCTCAGACACTGTTTTCATCTACCCATAACAAGGTCTGAACATTAATATCTCCAGCCAGTAAGGCTAGAGTGAAACGTTTTCTGGCTGTTGCCTGCTGGGATTTGAAACCCTGTTAGCCCAGCACCGGTGGAAACAGAAGGCAGAGGCTATACGCAGCATCCTCCCTTGCTTGTTGTTCTACCAGCCCTTAGGAAAAATAACTAGCAACAGGGTGAGGCACTAGTACGGAGGCAGAGGCTGCCCTGTTCTCTCCAGAGCACACAGTGTCACATGTGCAGACTGCAGGATGGGCTACGTGAGAAAGGGGTGACAATTCACATTTGTGGCAGCCCATGCAAGTCCCAGTGAATTACAAAGCGGACATACGCCCTGGAATAGCTGGTGCTGCAGGCTGCAGAGCCCTTCCCCGCGTGCCATGGGGACAGAGGGGATACCAGCCGCGCACCCCTTTCCACGTGGCGACTTCCTACAGCTGCAGCTGACAGCAGCATCTGAGGAAACGGAATTTGGTACCTTTGATTCTCACTTCGCAGGCTTGTGCTCAGCAGAGCCCCGGGAGCTGAGTGGATGCAAGCGTTGCTTCAGCTGTGAGCTGACTGGAGTGTGCAAGTGCTGCTCCTTTAGATTACCTGTTGCTGGAGCTGCCATGTTCTTGTGTCTGGAGCGTTGCTTGCTTTTAGCCCAGGTGTCTCATTTCCAGCATTATTCCAGCTGCTGCTTTTTTGGTAGGGTGGAGGGAAGCTGATGGAGGAGGTAGGACCTTGTGCAGAGATGATCAGTGCTGCAGCTCATGGTCTTTTCCCTCAGAGCAGAAACTGCCTTTACACACCACAATCTAATAACGCTGATAATTATAAACTACTCTGGGAAAGGGGACTGTGAACCTCACTGGATTTTTGGGGCTTTATTATGTGTTTGTGGACATTTTCCAAAACACACATTTAATTGCCTTCTCTGGTGCACACGGAAATTGTCTTCCAGTGTGTGCATGTGGGGGGGTGTTACACTCTCAGAGTATGCTTGCCTGTGCTGTCAAGTCTAAACAGACCATTTCTGAACTAAAAATAACCTGTCCTCTGAGTAACAGAGCAGCTGATCTCTGCAGCCCAGATGCAGACGCTCAAAAGGATTAGGTCACCTATTTTTCATTAATGGTGCTATTTAATTACAAATTCCCCCAAGTTTGATCCTTCGGAGATTTCAAACGAAGTGCCTAGTTGCTTTCCCTCCATCAGCGTGTTCTCACAAAAATACCGATATCAAAGACAATCTGTTAAGTAACTTTGATGTGAGGCTGCCTAACAGCACAACATGCATTACCAGGGGTCTTCGCACCAGCTTTTTGGGAAGAGAAAGATTTTTACCTCTTGTTTGAAATCACTCGACAGACTTACGGTATTAACCAGTCTGGCCTGCGCTAACCTCTCCTCCTCTTGGCTCTCCAGGCACCCTGTAGATGCTAGTAGTTTAAGTCCAACAGTCCTTCAGGGAGGGTAATTATCTACTTTGTGGAGGAGGAGAAATCAAAGCCCAGAGAGGCGAGGGAGTTTGCAGGGCAAGCCAGCGGCAGAGCTTGCGGTGGTCTGCCACTCTGACTGCCAGGTCAGCTCTAGGTCTGGACTGGATTTGCACTCCTGTTCAGCCTGGAAGGCCTGTATTGGCATCTGTCAGAGGGGGTTTGCACTAGACACATCCTTTTTCTGAGGCTCTATTATTGGCACGTCCTGCAATAGCAAAGCTTCATTTCCTCTTGCTGAGCTGGTCAGAAGGACCTTGTCACGGGTCTGGATTCAGAGCAGAGAATGACACCTCGCTGCTGTTCATCAGAACGTCGTGCAAAGAGGGGAAGGTTGCCAGATTTTTTATTTGTTCATCCTGATCTCATACGTGAACCATTTTCCCCACGTTCCCTTTATTAATGTTCTGTCTAGGTTTTCTATGAATAATTAAGATCCTCATTTGCCAAAATAATTATGTCTCTCAAGGTACCTGCAATCAGTAGCATTTCTCCTCCAGCAAGGAAGCCACTGTTATTTAGTTGCTGACAGTAATTGTTCTTGTGAGACAGAAGCAAACATAAAACTGCAGACTTGTCATTCATTGCTGGCTTTTGTAACGCAAGATTTTCTCCTTTTGAAGCAAGAGAAGCCTAAACAGAGAAGGGGTGAGGGTTGGAAAGTGCGTGGTGGGGACACGTTAGAGTGCTGCTGTTCTGAAAAACAACTGAAGTCCTTTTTAAATGCTCACTGGAGTGGGGCAGATGGAATTAGTGCTTTGCTGCTATGCCGTCTACAGTAGGGTTGTCTCATCGCTGAACACAGATTTAGGGCATTTGTGGAAATAGCTGGTGATGAATGGGTTTTCATTAGTTTAGAAGAGGGGAAGACTGCAACGGAAAGTGCCTCCCAGAACCATCCATCACACTGCCCTGCAATGCCTCAATAAAAGACTTTTCACAAATGCTGAGCACAGGACAGATCTCATCAAAAAGCCACTATTCAGATTATTCTGGCAAGGAAAAG